AATAGCGGCCCACCCTTTGCAGCCCGTGGAAGTGCTTCCTTCGCGTCTTGAGAAGGTCACGGCTGTCCTGCAGCTGTGACTGGGATTCACAGCAAGCTGCTGCTGCTGCTGCTTCTTTTTTAAATTTGCGCCACCAGTACTGAATAAAAGCTGCTGCGTGCTGGAAACGGCGCTGGGCCCTTTTGGAGATGACGCTCTTTATTGTGGGGAATGAGCGAGGCACTTTGAATCCTGACAGCGGTGTGTGGGAGACCAGACCTACTGCCGGTGTCTCGTAGTCGGGGAGATAAATTTTCCCATCCTTCCTGAGAGGCCAGCTTTTTAAAGGCTTTTTAGCGTGGTGACGCTCCGGGGTGCTTTGGGGACGGTGGTGTCTGGGAGGATTATCGGGCACAGTGGCTCTGAGGAGGGTGCAGGGCTGAGCCGCGTGCACCTGTTGGGTGTATCCAGACTCTTTCCTGTGCGGTGTGGTTAGAAGTGAGCTCTGTTTGTTTTTCCCGTGATCATTAGTGCAGACCGAGTGAGGAGCCAGCGGTGCTTTAGCAGACCCGGCCTTCAGGGACCTTCATCGATGTCAGGGCGATGACATTAGACGCGGCTGACTCCTGGCTGGGCTTGGGTGAAAGTCAGAGGCTGATTAACACCCTGTGAACGTCCAGTGAGGCTGCTCCATCGGGTAATTTTCAGTTGGAGGTATCGTCAGGCTCCAAGACGTATGGATCTTATTTAGGCCTTTGAGTAAGATTGAGTAGCTGGTCTTTCACCCCTTTCCGTCACACGTGCTTTTTAGCATTTTTTCTTTGACCCTCAACATTCTTTTTCTCCACCCCTGTCCCCTCAGTTTTTGTTTTTGTCTCCTTTCTGGCTCTTCCCTCTATATAGAAAGTTTAGTCTCTTGGTACAGTGCCTACTTTTTGGCCATGGAATGCCTCTCCCCCCACCCCACCCCCGTTTTGGTCTTTTCCTTCAATGGAGCAGAATTCCTCTAGAAGGATCTTTTGGAATCTTGCTCATGTGATGCCTGTACCATCTGTTCCGAGTCTACTCTTTTCTTCCCCAAGAAGGAGAAGTCGATTCTGTGAGTGATGCCAGGGTGGAAGCCCTTACGAGGAGGGCCCCGGAGCCATTGTCCTCAGACCATGCGGTTGTTCCCGTGGTCCTCGGGCTGCCTCACTGTGGGCACAGTGCTCACAGAAGCCCATCCCACCCCTGGGTACTTTTCCTGGATATGTTGGAGTTCTGGTTCAACACATTCTGTTACATTAGGAGATACATTTACTTTGAAAGCGACGGTGCTATCCTAGGAAGAGCAGGTGTGTCCTTATTTCTTCCACCCTCCCACGTGAGTTAGCCTCTGCAGAAGAAGGTAGTGCGAGTGGAATGACGAGCTCTGTTGAAGACATCGTGGCTTGTTCTTCTTCTGAAGCTTGTTTGTAAAAGGAACATTTTTTCTTATGGTTTTGCACATAGTGACTTTAAAATACATGTAATCCCAAGTCCGAGTTTTTGTTCATTCTGAGTTTTTCTCCAAAGAGAGTACATAACCGTTTGTGTGGCTGTGTATTTCTGTCATGCACACAGCCTGACATGGGATGCCTTGTGTCAGATTTGAGTGGAGAAGTGAGGAAATCAGTCTAGCAGCTAACCCTTGGAATCCTTGGAGAGTGGTGTTACTTCCCTTCACCGCCTGCTCTGAGATGGGCACAGGGTAAGCAACATTGAACAAGAGGGACACCCCCCGTCTTCCTTGAGTTTGCAGTCAGGGGGTTGTGGTTAGAAGCATGTTCCAAGTGTGTGTGATCTGGGTAGTGGGGAAGAGGAGAGACTCGTCTGGGTCATTGGGGGAGGCTTCTTTGAAGAAAAGATTTAAGAGAGCCTGGATAATAAATTGAAGCCAGCTAGGTGGCAAGGCCAAGGCAGAGGTGCAGTTGGAGGCCGGAAGGAAGAACTTTCTAGGTCCCAGGAATGTCGGTGTGAAGGCTAGAAAGCAGGATAGAGACCGGTAAGTTTGAGGAAATGAAAGAAGACCCTCATGGATACAGAGCTGAGAAGAGTGAGACTCCAACAAGGGGTGGTGGGAGCCTGATATTGCAGGGCCTCATAGGCTGGTTTAGACACTATGGAGTGAGTGAGTGTGGGGGGAAGGAGGGCATTATTTAAAAGCTTAAAGCTTACCTTGGCTGTTTTTCTTTTTAAATATATCTTTATTGATTTCACACAGAGAGATAGAAACATCAATGATGGGAGAGTCATTGATCTGCTGCCTCCTGCATGCCCCCTGCTGGGGATCTAGCCTGAAACCGGGGCTTGTGCCCTGACCAGGAATCGAACCCGTGACCTCCTGGATCCTAGGTCGGGCGATGCTCAACCGCTGAGCCACGCCTGGCAGGGCTTGGCTGTATTTTTTGTATTTTGCCAAATAATGTAGTTATTTTGTGAGCTTCGTTTGCCTCTTAAATTAAACTAATAGTTATCAGTTATTATTAAAAGCTGAAAACATCAAGCCTTGAGAATAACATCTAAATTGCTTGCACGAGTGTACCCCTAAAATATAGAAAGAAAGGAAGAAAAGTCTCTTTTCCCTGATATGCTACACATATTCGGGTACCCTGTGCTCTTTCAGAGGAAAATGGGGGGGAAAACTGCTTATGGTATTTTCTTCAGCTACCTTGAGCCATCTGCCTTTTGAGCAGCCAAACATTGGGCATTCTGGGATTTAGTGTCAAATCCTGTCTTTAGGGGATTAACCCTGCAATGAGAGGGAGTTGATCAAACGTTTCACAACTCCTCCACCGTGGGAGTTGTAGTGGCTGGGCACTGTGTGTTTGTAACGTGTATCTTTCAAGCCCTAAACATTAGTCAAGGGATTTTGCATGTGCATGGTGCACACAGGGGCTGGGCTCTACAGCAGAACACTAGCTGAGGAGTCAGGGACCTAAAGTCGGATCCCAGCTCCATCTCTGCCCGCTGCAGTCACTGTACTGTTCCTGAGCTTTAGTGTCTTCCTCCATAAAAAGATGGGATTTACCAGTTAATATGTACAAGAATAGTAAAAAACGTAACAGCTAATATTGCATGCACTATTCTAAACATTTCACTTGGACGGACTCATTTAGCCTTCACAGCAATTTTAGGAAGCAGTTGCCTTTATTGTTCCCATTTTCCAGATGAAGACATTGAGATGCGGAAAGATAGAGGTACTGGCCCGAGCTCTCCCCGTCAGTAAGTGACTCCAGAGTCAAGGCTCCATTGCATAATACTTTTAAA